GAGTCCTTAAAATATTGGCCCTTGCTGGTGGTGACCAAAAGCTGTTTCTACCTACTAACACCTTTGGGGAGCCCATGAGAGATGAGTTTGGTAGGTCTTTTGTCCTCTAGTGGGCAAGTAGCACAAAAACTACCGTGTCCTATCAGACTCATTGGATGAAGATTTCAGCTGAACGGCCAAGGATTACATACATCACGAAGTTCTCCTCTCAGCCTTCGTGGGACCTCTTCTATGAAGAGCACCAATGGAGAGAGGAGAAATGTATCACTCTCCTGATCTCATGAAAGAGGCCTCTTCTTCTTCTTGCATATGACTTCAGAAAGTTGATTCCTCCAACCATTTAAGAGTAGATCCATCAATACTACTGCAATCTTTCAGACTGTTTGCTCCCTCTGGTGAACCACATAGAGGGCAGTCAGTTAGTATACACTGGGCTGTCTGATCTCCTTTGCCACAGTAGCATGATGGTGAGTTTATAAAGTCCATTTTATGTTTGATTTTGTTGAAAGCTCCATAGCCCAATTACAGTCAATTCAGGTTTCCCCATGCCTTACGTGGGAGTGTATGACCAGGAGGGTGTGAGGATGGTGGTTATATGTAGTTGTGTAGTGGGGTGTGGTTGTTATTCCATTTCTTTTCCCACCTTCTCTGGGGCCATGTTGACAGTATCGTGTCTCCTGCTTCCTCTATGATGTTTCTGGAAGATACTGGTAAGGGTTTTCTGCTTATTAGAAGTTTCTGTGTTGGATATTTTTCAATCATGTCATGTAGTGGATGATCTTCCTGTTGGGCTTTGGTTGCCAGGTCAAGCAGTATTCCAGACCTCTTGATGTTATGAGGGGGGATACCTGCCAAGATGAACATATTTTCCTGTTCCATGTATACTTGGCAGCCACTTATTGTTCATAGTGCAGAATTCAGGGCACTGTCCAGTTTGCAGGTCTGGGAGCTATTTGCCCACACAGGGAGGCAGTATCTTGCTGGTGCACAAACCCTGGCTAGTGTAGTTGTTCTCAAGATAGAGAAGTCGGCTCCCCATGTTGTACCAGCTAGTTTCTTAATGGCTGCTGCCCTGGAGGTTACCTTATGCCTCAACTTCTCCAGGTGGTGGCAGAAGGTTAGGCTTCTGTCTAGAGTGACACCCAGGTAGGTTGGTGTCTTCTCAAAGGATAACTCTTTTCCCTCAACAACAACTCTTATCTTGGCATTCGCGGCATGATTGCTCAGGTAAAAAAGTGTTGAAGTGGTCTTTTGTATATTCAGCTTCAATCACCACTGTTTTAGGTAGGAAGTGGAGTTCCATGTCACGGTTCAATTTGACCTCTATTGAAGATATGTGATTACTGGCAGCAGCGAGTGCCAGGATGTCTGCATACATGTATTTAGTCAATGCAGTGCTTACATAGTCTGCCATGTAGATGTTAAACAGGGTGGGAGCTAGGCCAGAGCCTCATGGTACTCCATTCCTGAGTCTCTTGTGACGACCTGTCTTTCCGCACGATGTACTCAAAGGACCGATCTGAGGTCTTCTCCACGATAAAGTTAACCAAAATTCTGTTTGGTAGCATAGTAAGTAGCTTATACCGAAGGACTGGGTGCCAGACTGTGTCGTAGGCTGTTGTTAGGTCAGCTAGAACCGCTCCAACCTTTTCTCAATTCTTGAAGTCGCTCTCAATATCAGCTGTAAGAGCTGCTACATGGTCAAAGGTTGATTGGGATGCAAGACATATTCCTTCCTGTGGTGCATCCTGTGAGTAGCTGAGGAGTCTGTTTCACAGTGAAATGAAATACGTCCATCAAGACAATTTCAAAACATTCAGAATGATTAGTCAACTAGAGAGGCCTCTATTCTCTAGGCACGTCAGTTTGACACTTCAGCGCATTAAATTAAATCCTGTTGATTTTAGTTATTTATTTTAAGCACAAGAGCAGTTGCAAGATCACAAGGTAGTGAAAGCTAACATTCACTTTATTTTATTTTCCAGATCAATAAAAAAAACACAGAGTGTTTCCACTTGAAGCCCCATGTGGCCATTTCCCAGTAGGAAGACAGGGTCCTGCATATTGGAGTATGGACTCTAATACTCTATCCAGCCATAAGAATCTTACAACTTGGTGTCCCCTCTTAAAACATACAGAAGAAAGGGAAAGAAGTCTTCCTTAATGAAGAATGATGGAACTATAAGTAACAGTTGCTCAATCACTGCGGGAGCTGTGAAATCCTGAGGAGGCAAGTGAGAAAATAACATTCTGTACTTAATCTCAAAAAGGAATTTGGGCACCAGTGGCTGGTGAACCTCATGAGTTCACATACAAGTACACCCAGCCAGTCCTACCTTTCTGTTCTCTTTGTGTCCCATTCTTTCATTTGTAACTATGTGGATACTTCTCCCCACTGCTGGCCCAATCTGAATTTCAAATTCAGATGCAGGGGGTAGAAACCTAACTTACCACAGTGGCATGTAATGGTTTCCTGAACCAAAAGCTTTCACCAAATTAATTAATCCCCAAAGTACACTCCTCCTAGTCAGGCCACATCAGTAAAGAAGGCAGAGCCCAAGAATCCCCATTATCACACTGAATGTCTGATGAATTCACCCTCCTTTGATGCAAGTTCCCCATGTTTCCTTGCGTTCCAGTCTCTTGAGCTTCACTGCACTTTTACAGCAGGATCTCGATATTACATCATAAGCTGCTCCCTAGCACTGGCTCATCGCTAACTCACAAGAGAACAAAACAAAGCAGAAAATCTTTCCTCCCAAGGCCCCGCTCTCATAATAGGCCAGCTTTCAAACCTCCTTCACTTCCTTTGAGGGAAGCCACTTTCCAGGAGCTGATGCCATTTCCCATTTGGTTCTACTGCCTTGCCACGTACTGGGTATGCACCAGCAGTGTGGCTGGCCACCATGCACTCAAGAGAAAATTTTTGTTCCTATCAAACAATTTGTACCTTAGAGGCATCTTTCATCCAAGGATCTCAAAGCAGTTGACAATTGTAGTCAGGGGAAGAATGAGCAAGTCAGTGACAAAAAAAAGAAACCAGGCTTCAGGAACCCCGACTCCCACTTTCCTCAGTCTCTATCATTTCTATTCTATTTCTGTCCCTTTTTAGTCTCTCTCTGCTTTTTACCCATTGAGTTACCATGTAGTCAGAACAATGAAAACTATGCAGTCACTAGCATGGATGATTGTTGTTATCTTCCAAATGTGTAGAATTTGTAACCTGGCATAATGATTTGCAATTTATACTGCTGTTGATATGAGTTGATGACACCACATAGTATAGACAGTGAATTTCTGATTGTCCTAATTATCAAAGGGACATTCAAAACCTTCAGTTAATCAATGTAATACCAAGAAATTTCAGTTCCTAAAGGAATTACAAATTTAAGGGACAGAAACAGATGTAGTATCCTATGTAACAAATGTAGTACCCTGAATGTACATAATCAAGGTTTAGATAACCGCAGGTTACTTGGACACAGCGGTGTGCATGTTGTCATAGGGGACAGTTTTCAAAACAGGGCAGGGCACAGAGTTAGAGCGCTTTACTGAACTGGATTCTTGAAAATCCATGTACCGATTCTGCTGTTGAAATGGAAGCTGAAGTCTTTTAAAAACAGGCTGTTCAGGCTATAAATTCAGAGGGGACCACTGAGAGAATCTAGGTCATAGGACTTCCCTGAACTAATTCCTGTTTGAAGTAAAAGAAATATTTTAGGAAAACATGCAATCTCATTTGAAAAAATTGTCCATGATAGAGAATTCATTCCAGCCTGAGGAAAGTTGTTCCAAGGGGTAATTGCCCTCACTTTGAATTGCGCAAAAGGTGTCTCTGATTTCTAGTCTGAACATGTCTAGCTTGAATTTCTGGCCATTATACTATTGGATTTGTTAAACCTTTGAGACTAATAGTCCCCCTGTTATTGATTTGTTGTTCCCCATGTAGGTATGTATAGGCTATGATCAAGTTATCCCTCTACCTTTTTGGCAAGCGAAACAGGGACCCTTTGAGTCTCTCACTACAAGGCCTATTTTCGATCCCTGATTTATTCCTGTGGCTGCTCTCTGAAATTTTTCTAACTGATCAACATTCTTTGTGAATCATGGACATGCAAACAAGCCACAGTGGGTGTGTCTACACATTCATTAATGCACTTTTGCTATTGCACATTAAGTTTAGTACCTCTAGTGTGAGGTAGTAACTAAATGCGCATTAGGCTGTCCTATTGCACAGTTGCAAAAGCGCATTTGCTTTTTAGTGATGCTTAATGCGCAGTAGACTAATTTTACTGTGAATTAGTATATTAGCATAGTTTTCCCCATGATGCTCTAATGTGCAGTAAAATAGGCTACTGCACATTAAAGCACATGTGTAGACACACCCAGTATTCCTGTAATGGTTGGTCACATCAGAGCCTCACATGCAGAAATAACATGACTTCCCTACTCAATAGTCCCCTTTTTATATATCCATGGATTGCACTAACTCTTTTGGCCACCAAATCACCCTGGAAGCTCATGTTCAGATGATTACTCATCATGATCCCAAATCCTTTTCAGAGTTGCTGCCTCCCAGGCCATCCTGTATTCATAGCCCATGAGGGGAAAGCAGAAGTTACTCCATCATTATCAATGGCATTACATCTGTGTGAGAGGAGCATTGTGGCCCTAGTGTATATCTTATAGATACTTCAGAAACTTTGGGCTAACAGAATACAATACAACATAGTCATGTCACAGCTGCAATGGCATCAGAGAACTGTATTTCACAGTTGCATCATCATAAGTATGTAGTATAATATTTATAGATGTGTGAGACACCTGTGACAACTTGTATAGCATATGCACCAATGCCACTGAAGTACGCAAAGATGTGAACTGCAGTCAACTGCATTATGATTGGCTGACTTGTCTCTGATGTCACAGTCCACTACTCAACAGTAATTGTCTTAAAATCAAAGGGTAAGTTTAGATGACTTTTTCCCTCATGACACCAAAGCACTAAACAAACCCAAAGATGAACTGAACAAATCAAAAGACAAATTGAGGAATATCAGTAGGCTGTGAGAAGCAGCAAGCAGAAATAGGATTCCCTGGATCCTGAATGCCTCAGGGCACCGCGTCGCTGAGGAAAGAGAAAAGAAAGCACTTCCAAATCCATCCACCTTCCATTTGGGATGGTGAATTATTACAAAGTTCTAGGACTGCAAAAAAATGCCTCGCAAGATGATATTAAAAAATCCTACCGAAAGCTGGCACTAAAATGGCACCCCGACAAGAATCCTGACAACAAGGAAGAGGCAGAAAAGGAATTCAAAGCTGTAGCTGAGGCATACGAAGTTTTATCGGACCCCCAAAAGCGCTCCAAATATGACAGATCTACCTATGAAAGTAGGCAGAGAGGAGGGGGAGGTGCTACTGGAGGCTACTACAGCCCATTCGGTTCTGATTATGTATTCCGTAACCCGGAAGAGATCTTCAGGGAATTTTTTGGAGGAATGGACCCCTTTGCACAAGATTTCTGGGACAGTTCACTTGACAATGATGGGTATGGTAGTGAAAACAGATACAGAGACCGTAGAAGAGGACCTGGCTTTGCTGGCTTTGATGTGTTTCCTGATTTTACACAGTCATTTATGTCATTCGGATCATTCCAACCTGGCGAGAACACTACATTTTCCTGCAGGTCCTTTGGAGGTGACACCAATGGGTCAAACAATTTCAGATCAGTCTCAACTTCTACTGAAGTTGTCAATGGTAGAAAAATCACTACCAGAAAAATCATCGAGAATGGACAAGAACGAATTGAAGTGGAAGAAGATGGCCAGTTGACATCCATCAAAATAAATGGGATGGAACAGCTGAAATGCTAGTCACTCACTATGCACATGCACAGAAAAGTTAAATGCAAGCTGTTTGGAAGACCTCAGATGAACTTGTGTTCGCTGATCTACTGTAAGTAGAGGTAATAAACAGCTTGACTGAAATTGTGACACAAGGGGTGCTGACTTTTGCATTAGTTGGAACAATTCTTTTGCAGGTAAAGGTATATAGATATGTTTTTCAAGTATAATTTTAGTAAACCTAATAAAAGTCTCAATATTAAGTATTGCAAAGGTAAAACCAGCCTTCCTGGCTTACTAAAGAGATTAAACTGGTTATTTTAAAGGGATTAAATTACTCTGGTCAGAAAGCCAACCTTTCTACCAGGTTTCAAGTGTGAGTTTAGTTCAACCTTCTTGATGACCCATGGGAAATGAGTTGATTATGTCTAGCTCTTAGGTGACAGACAGCCTACATCACAAGAGGTAGTCTTATTAATAGTTTCAGCACAGGTATCAAGAACTCAAGCAGCATGAACCGTGCAATCTTTTTTCATCCTTGGAGACAGATTCTTCTTTTCAAGGTTGAGGTGTGCCAGTAAGATGAAACCAAGGAACCCTTCATGGCCACAGAAACTGCCCCAAGGCTAAGTGAAGAACATCAATCTTTCTGGGTGGTAAAACATGCACTAGATTCACATTTACAAAAAAAAAAAAAAATCACCAAAACAGAAAAGTCTTTATAAAAATGGATAATAAAAGAAACCTAGGTTTGAAGAGTCATCCAGGACATTAAACAGAATAATTGCAACAGGAAAAACTGACAGTGGAGAGTTGTTAGCAAGAAACATTAGGAAGAACAAGTTATCTATGAAAAGGGAAGGAGGGTGATATCATAGGGCCTACTAAAAATTATAAGATTGGAGATCTGGATGAAGGAGTTGAATGTATAAGGTGCTGAATTAAGCAGATGGGTGATAAATATGTGCGTGTAAGGGACAGAGATGTCATTAGTAGCCAAGGTGATCACAAAATTCAACATCTGGAACTCAACTCACCAGGCTGGCTTCTTACCTCAGTCCAGTAGTGCTCAAACTCTGGCCCACCAGGCCATGTCATATGCCCTATAGGTATCCCCATCAGTCCAGAAATTTGGCGCTGGGGGAGCAGTATGTTCATTGACACTCCCCTGCTACCAAAGTTCTGGATCCAGGAGAAGCCCTGAAGGCCGGATGACATGGCCCTTCATGTTACATCATACCAGCATGCAGTGAGGTCCATGCGTAGCTGGATTGGGTGCATGGCATTGGGCCAACATGCCAGACTGCAGCTGTGGACTGACCCCATGCATCAACCCCATGCTGAATCGGGCCACATACACAGGATGTGGCTCTTGAACTGGGCCCACACGACTCATTCAGCCCATGGGGCCAGAAGACTGAGCACTGTGTCTTCCATTCCTTGAAAAAGTAATGGTTCTGACAAGAGAAATATAAACTAGTTAATACTAGCCTAAGTTAACATATAGCTAATAGACTAGTTCATTTAATTTGTTAGGTACAGTGTGTTTATTAATATTAACTAACTGATTCTTACAATCTCCTTGTGAACAGGTAAGTAAGTGTTAGTACCCCTATTTTACAGATAAGAAAAGCAAGACACAGAGGGTCTTTCACTCTCTACAGGTTCCCATTTGGGGGAGGTGAGCTTCTGGTTTTTCTGTTTGTTTCTTGTTTTTTTTCATCTTTCTCGGAAGCACTGGCCACAGCTAATGGTAGGAGTTTTGACAGGGATGCTACCTAGAACCACCTCAAGTGCCTGGAAGGGAAGGGTCTTGCTCTTCTGCTCAAGGTCAAACCGATCATCAGATCTAGAGTCATGAAGGGATGTTTTTCCACCTCTGACTGGCAGGGATTGTGTGGAGTTTTGTGTTCTCTTACAGCATGAGGCACAGTCTTTGGTGGAGCCTTTGTCTCCCTTGCTTTTGACCTGTAGTATATTGCATGGTGGGGGCTGTGGATTTTGCAATGTGATTTGTGGTGTATGTAAGCACCTGGAGCATATGATTTATAAAAGTCTGGATTAAATGGTTGCTGTGAATGCTGAGAACCGGACTTGATGGAACAAGAAGCCCCTTCCCATCCCCTATGTTCTTGTGTTGAGAGACCTACCCAAAACACACAGCTAGCGGCCATCAGAATCAGAGTTCAGAAGTTCCTGAAGTCTAGTCCCAAAACTCCACTAAGATTTAAATGCAGACAGAAAGCTAGTAAGTGTTTGATGGAACATAACCTAAGTGAACATGAAGTGAGTCACCATAGGATTTAAAAATCAGATGATCTTGCTTATCAAGGAAATGGAACTTACTGATAATGAAAGGGACTTTGCAAGTCATGTCAGCAATAGCAAGGATGGGACATTTGGGAACATGCTGCTCAGCTGGAGGAAAGGAGGACCGTAGGTTATCAGAGCACATCAAGAGATGTAAATCACAAGCCCAGTGGACCAAGCCAGGATGGAAAAACACCTAGAGCCTCAAATCTGACTCTGCACAAAGTAGAGGCAAATTCAGACTGCTTAAATTCACTCTTCCTAGTGCTTTTATCTTCATGCATAAATATGCTCGTACAGTGCCTAGCATAAAGGGGCTCTAAACATTAAGGGTATCTTCAGGGGCTATTGCAAGGCTAAGCAGCAACAGTGTATAGAGATGATGCTATCCCAAAGGAAGTCCAGTGAAGTGCTGCTGAACTGATCAAAAGCACGGAAGGAGCTAAATCATGGTGACAGTGAAAACCTATTCAGTTAGGAAAAGACAAGTCCCTGGGAGGGATCTCAGTGGGTCACGTCAAACTACTTATGTGCATTTGATTTATGAGCTTTGACAACTGTTTGTCCATCATGCTGAGCACAAGCAGATGCTGGAGACCTGGGTATGCTCCTCACTTTAAAAAGGCAGAATGAACAATAACTAATGGTTTGGGAGCAGAGAAGCCTACAGGAAGCATTCAGGTTTGGGAGGAGGATGGTCACTGGATGAAGTCTCAAAGCACTGAGTGGCTGTATATAAGGGAAGAAGGTGATCCAAGTCAGAAAGGCTAAGAACTTTCAAAGCTAAGGATGTATTTATATGGGAATTTTATATAAGCTAAAGTATGCATTTAAATCAGTAGTTCTACAGTTATATATATGGACACACTTATTCCAGTGTAAGAGGGCCTTTTTTGAGTTTAGCTCAAAACAGAAGATTTCACTCATAGCAGAATAAGAATGCCTACATAGGACCTAAAATGCTGATTTCACTTATGCCAGTATAGTTAAGTTATATCAATATGACTGGTTAAATTATTCTGTAGACAACTCCTGAGTTATGAGACTTTATTCAGACAACACAAAGCTGAAGAGGCCTAGCAGAGTTGGATTTAGGGCCAGACCAAGGGAAGGTTGGCTCAAGGAGTTATTTTGTACTTCATTACTGTAGAAGTATTGTGAAAATTTGTCAACCCTTTGATTTATAATGAACATCCCACAGAAGATGTGAAGGGGGGTGATGGACCTTTGTCTCAGTTTTCTTATCATAAACCACTCAAACTTCATGGCTGTGATGAAGCCATCAGAACCCCAAATACCAGCACAGTCCAAGACCATTGCAGGTCCCATTCGTTCCTCTACTACCCCTCTTCTCTCTCATCCACACAAACACTTATTGTAGCAACAAGAACTTATTTTACTATTCTTTCCTGTCTCTTTGATCTGATCACATCTCTGCTTGTTCTGGAATCTCTTAAGAGCTCTCCGAAATTGAAGCAAAATATAAAGCAACATCTTGCAAAACTGAACTACAGCATCAGGTCAAGCTCTTGAGCTGTTAGGAATCCATATTCTGTTCTGAATTTTACCACTAGAGCCTCAATGCACAGCATGGACTTAGGCTCTAGATGAAAAATCTGGACCTGGGAGTTGAACTGGCTTTGCTCAGAACAGCAAGTTGTGAAATCTGGAGGGATCTAGTTTTGAATCTTCAAACTCCCACCAAGTTTGGAGTTTGTTGAATATAGCCATTAGATTCAGACGCATCTTGACTATTACATTTTCATATGTTTGTATGGATTTAAATAAAATAATATGCGCTGCATACTGTGGATCAGGATTCCTCATACTTTGCCATAGAGCAGACTACATAGAAATGATGGGCATCTTCTTTACCAGTCTTTAGAGTGCAGATCACTCCTATTCCCATTCAGGGTGGTAGAATCTCTTTATGGTGGCTATAATGCATGCTTGCATGGGGAAGCTCACTATTAGGAGCTGCTTAATGACTTCTTAGCTTCTCTTAATGAGATTGAGCAGCTGTAAACAAAGAGGAGCCAGCAGTCTGGGACCAGCCAGCTTTCTGAGAACCACCTGCAAGTTGGGGAACGTCTGCTATACATAAATCTACCTCTCAGAAGCTGCTTGTATTGTTCCTCTCGTAGGGCTGCTGCGTTAATGAAATCTATCTTCTTTCAAAGAAGGTACATTTCAGCCACGTCTAGATCACAAGCTTATTGCCTGGCAGCAGTGCCTTCAAATATACTAAGTTGCTCCACACACACTAGCTCCACAACTAGAAGTCTTGTAGTCACCTTCACACTACTCTGGAGGTGAGCTAGTTGGCACTGTCACTCAGTCCTGCCCATTAGATAATGCCCAGCAGGACAAGTAATTGGATACAGTGCTTCCAGTGAGAAATTAATGTGCATGGAGCAGTGCAGCATGTTTGAGGGTGCCACTACCAGCACAGTGAGTGAGTTTTTGAACCAAACCTCACTAGCAATATTTTAAGAAGCCTCTATGCTTGAAGTCACACATGTACCCTGTTCCATCCATCATTCTGGAACGCAGGTGCTACAAGGCAGGCTCTTGTACTAACATGCCAAGTGAAACCCGTTTCCTGCCTACCTCTATCCAAATGACATGCCAGACTTTAGTGGCTTCTCTAGTTGGAAATGCCAAGCTGGCAAGACAGCTTCCAACCTAAACAAAGCAACCTTTCCTGACAAGAAATACAG